TGAATGTCTCTGATGTTAGCTCGTTTCTCTTCTCTCTCTTAGCCTGTTCGCACGACAATAGTGCTTCCTTTCTTTGTTCTATTCTAGTCCATCATTCCAATTATTCCCAGTGTGAATATCAAACGCCAAATTTTCCTATTGATGATCGATACAATCGTTGGCCCCAAACCTAATGCATCTCACACTGTTTTTCAGGTTAAGCCTAATGAAGTTAACTCCCTGTTCACACTAGCATGTAGATCGGCAGGCAGTTTACATCACTGCCAAGTTCTAAGTGCTAACCTCACTTTCCTACTTTCATAATCGACAACTTTAATGTCTTCTGACTCAATACCACACCTATTGTTCTGTGAGCTCCTCCAACTCACTTCCCAGGACAACAACTGTCAATTACTCTCAGCGCTTAGTAGGTTCCCGTAGCAATGAGACCCACCCATTACTTACCCTCTGTATTCATTAGCGAATTTCAAAGTGTTCATTCCTTGATAGAATTGTGATTTACGTTTAAAGCCATGCCTGTTTGTATATCGCATGTTTTGCGATTTCTCAACAATTTCTGGGATTTCTAATGCATTTCCAGTGAAAAGTTGGGACCATTTGCGTTCTCGTCCATTCGGACATCGTGTTCTCCTCAGTGTGTCTTCTACCAAGGATCCGGATGAATGGAATACCAAACCAACTCTTCCCGACTGCAAGTATTCCACAAACAGTGTGAATTGTTTAGAAGTGCCATCCGGTTCGTCTGAGTTGAATGGCACGGAACCGGTGCATATACTTTTGGTAAGCTGTCTGGAATGATCGTTTTCACAGTGCTGTTTACAATGCTCCCCTCTGACTGATTTGGCTTTAGATGTGTTATAGACTAGGTTCTTATAGTTTTCTATTGATAATGCCAAGGCCAAGTAAATGGGATTTACCATCCTCATAGATAATTATGGGAATGCGATAGTTTCCATGATCCAGTCGATTTTAAGATTAAAAAAAGTGTGGCAATGCCAAGCAAGTTTTCGAACAATGCGTTTCGTAAATTTTTCATGCAATCGATAATCCTCGGCTATTTACAGCAGATAACAATAATAGGTGATCTGATTTAATAGTCACTTTCAAAAATGCAATGCAAAAATTAGGTGTTAGGTTAAAATAAATTTGTCTCAAGCTTTAATAAAAACAACCAACACCGTTGTTTACAAAACTGTCATAATTATAGTTTACATAAGGAACGTTTGTCAAGACTCCATTGATTACGCTGGTTGGGGCATGTGTTACGCATGTCACCAGATAGTTTGCCACGGCGAGTGATGTTCAATGAGTCAGGTAGTGGGGTGGTCAAACCAAGACCTAACACGAGGATATGAAAACTCTAACCAGGAGTTTGGGTCACTTAGGTCCCGTTAGGCTCCGTGGGCGGGGACCTCGGGATGATCGTAACCGATGGTTAGAGACACTGAGTGATATGGCTGAGTGTCGTAAACAGTGGTGTTTGTGTATCTTCTCAATTTCTTTGCGATATTAGTCTATTGAACCTCTCCATTTTCTACGCGGTTCTACTTTCGACTTTCTTGTCTTTCTCCCAATGTTCATCCAAATCTTTTTTTTAATTTCTTTTCCATTTTGCTTCCTTTTATTAAGTGTACAAAGATACAATTTTCAGGAAGGGGAAGCGGTTGATCAAAGGGCTGCCATACAACACACAATGGGGAAGTTAGGCGGTGGTGCTGGGATTCGAACAAATCCCGGGGTAAGAAAAGGCAGACAGAGTACCTGGGTAACGATGCCAGTACCTCTCGCATGCCAAGCGAGCGCTCTACCATTTGAGCTAGTACCTCATAATGGGCGGCCAAAAGACCAACCAAAACCGGCGCACGAAAGTGCATGGTTAATGGTTGTACGAACTGAACTGAACTGAACTGAACTTATCAAGATTATAAATATGTATGAGCATTTCATTGAAAACTCTGTAGTTTTCGTTTCCAAAATGACAGTCTCTATTGCTCTGCCCACAGCAGCATAATGTTTGCACTAGGTACCCCTATGCCTACATTCGATGTCACTTCACCATTTGAACATTGATCGACTATCATTTGTCGGTTACCACATGTAGTAAATGGATCTTTGAAGTTCGCCCGATCACGAGAAATCGGTTTACTCTGTCTTTTGATTTCCGGATGTTTGTTTGGAACACGCTCCCGGTAACTAAACAGTGAAGCATCAAGCGGTAACTGTCCACACAGTTTGTTTGTAAATTTAGGATAAACCGAGTCAAGCCAATGACACGAGATGTCACTGAAAGCTCAAAACGAGAATACTTATTTGCGGAATGTATTGAAGTGTAAAGGGAAGTGTTCTGATTCAAGAGCAGTTTTTATAGTTACATATGTATATTGCAATCAGATCAAGTCAAGCAGAAACTTGATGCATCATGAGGAACATCCCGCAATGAATGAGGTCGATGCTCTCTTTCTTTAACATGTGTTCGAACGTTCCATAACTTCAGCTGCAAAAGGTATTCAGAAGTCGTTACTTTCGTTTTGAAATTTCAAGCCGAAAGATTGTTGATTTTCATTTTTGTAATATTCTGTGCATTCTTTTCATTGTATGTATTGTATATTCTTGTGATTGTTGCAACCGTATGTCTAAATGGAATACTAATTTTCCGCTTAATACATGCAGTAATGACATTATTAAAGATCAGGCGGTGTCATGAGAAAACAAATTTCTGTGCTCACCATAGGTAGCACAGACCTCTTTGTGGGTAAGGCATTGATCGGAGCATCTTACTATCATACTCACTTGCGTCTTCTCATCTGTATGGATTTTACCTTTAGTTTCGTGAAAATCGACTCCACTTTGAAAGCGATGGACTTGATTAGAAGTGTACCTGCTGTGGACGATTTGTCAACAGATTCATGAGGTGATTCGGTGTAAGATGTAGCGCAGCCATTCATAGGGCGCGTTTCTCATCATTCATCCGTCGATTGCACCATTGATTTCGCAAAACATTTGCTTCTCCTGGGTGTTTTCTTACTCGCTTTCGAACGAGTTACCCCAAGATGCAACCACCATTCAAAATGTGATTTACTAATGAAATGTGTACGCTTGTGTGCGACTGTCCCCGTGCTAGCATCTCTTGGTCCGTTTTCCATAACTTGTCTTCTAATGTTACTGTGAAAGTAGCAGAAGTGGCAAGCGCACCCACCTTGTCCGTCGTGGTGATAAACATCGAATTGCAGGTGGTCACAACGAGTCACTACAGAATACCAGAAAATGACGCACTAACCTCTAAGTTGTCATGGTCGAAGTGTCCTTCTGATCTCATCGCATTTTATTTTGATGTATTTGCCAATAAAATTTCCGTAATAAATGGTGTGCTCAATTTTCATGCATTGTCTAATGGAGAATACCTTTAGTCCCAAGGTATATGTATTTACTCCAACTCACTGTGCTGTGAAGCGAAAACTGCAGTTGAAGATAGTTCTTGTCATTGGTTGTCTACCCTTACTTTTAGCCTATACAGTTTTTTTTGCATTTCTCTCTTGGGGGGAGGCGGATTGAGCACTCATGCAGCTCTTCACAATTCTACTCGAAGTTATTCTCCGAAATTTTAGGATTGGATTGAAGAACACGAAGCATTTAGAGTGGGTACGTCTTTCCACAGTCCCAAAGATGGCCCGCAACAAAAAGGATCGGTCAACCCACAGGATTCCATCCGTCTTACCAGTACCCGAGGAAATCGGTCTCGCAAGCTCACTTACCCCAAGCCCCCGACTCGTAATGTGGTTTCTGATTCGCCACCTGCTCCATCTGCGCAGTTCACTGCTCCTCGCACCCAGGATATATCTCCGGTTATCTCAGAGAAAGTGCTAACGACTTTTGATCCCATTCACTCTCCGGTTCATTCTCCAGCATCCCCGGATTTCCCTTCTATCAGTGAACGAGGCGTCCAGGTAGGTTGCTATCTTTTTCTTCATTTGTTTTTGTGACATCTGGCACTTGGTTTCGTTTCCATCGAAGACCCATGCATGGGTCATTGAAAATTCTCTCTCATTGTTTGCTATAAATACAGTGATATGCATTCCTATGGTGGTCCAAGTGTAGCCAATATCGATTATGGGTTTATACCAAGAATAGAATTAAATTAGAATTTACTAAGTGAACTATATCAGCTGACGTGTGCGATTTTGTCCTATGACTGACATCCTCGATCTGTTTCAGTAAAGCATGGCGAACACCATCACCGCAATACTAACCACGGTGCGACACAGGTTTTATTTTAAAAGCTTTTGTATTTTACACCGTGCGTGTGGTTGTCACCAGTGCTTTTGCAGTGGCGAGTTTTCTCAGGAAGGGGTAACGCTTGATTGTGTTCATCTCATGTGACACTGCATCGTCTCACTCTCATTACACTTATCCAACACATCAACCTTTGTTTATTCGAAAAAAAATTATTTTCGAAATAAACGTGAATAAATGAACACAACACTGTGATTGAGCACGACTTGATTCCTGCCATTACGCTTATTGCAAAAAGGGGAAAAGTTTACATATCACAGGTGTTGATAATCTAGCACAGTATCAATTCACTCTTCCGCTCACGCGTTTTCCACGGGTATGCCAGCCTAATGTAGACCTCGTTCAGGTGACACAGTAGTTTATTCGTCAACTATTTTTTATTGCAAACCTTCGTGTGTTGAGTAACAAACGGGGTAAACTCCATCGTCAGGAAGGTCTTTCACTCACTCATAAAAATCCGGCAACCTACTACCCCGATTTAGGGTAAACCATTTAGGGTCCCACTAGGTCAGGCTGCTGGTGTTATGTTGCATTGATCGGGAGCTCTGAGAGTTGGGGAACATCAAGCCTCTCGATGTAATAAGTTTGGAATGGTTTCCAATAGATATTCCAAATGCAGTGTTTTATTGATGATATTACGAATTACTTTGTTTAGTGTATGCACCGTTTTGTATTAGTATATTGATTAAGAAATTACGTTGTTCGTTTCCTCTGTCTTTCATCCCCGTCGTCCTTTTACTAGCCGTTTCATCCACGTACATGGGAATCGGACGAGCTGGTCAATGCAGCCGGGCGTCGAAATGGGACGGTCTATGTTATTCTGACGCGAATGGATTATGTACAGTTGGAAACGGTTAATCCCACTTATCATAATGCCACTCGTAAAATCACGTTTATTGTCCCCGCCCACCCAGTTCAAGTCGGTAAGTGTGTGTTAAATTCAACTCCAGCTAACTGATTATATTATCCTTCAGGATTGAATAACATTGATCAGCATAAGTACATCTCAACTATTTTTTTTCTTCCGATTGGGTTAGATTTTCTCTTATTATCTTGCAGTGTATCATAGTGAAGACTGCACATTGAGCTTGGTCACTCTCTCAACAAATGTATTTATCTCTAACTTCTAATGCGACCAATGGAAGTTCATAATGGTAGAAAAACCACTATGCGTGGTTAGCGACACTGAGTGACATCTCTGAATGTCGTAAACAGCGGCACTCGTGCATCTCCTCAATTTCTTTGCAATCTTAGTCTACAGAAATTCACCGTTTTCTATTCGACGACACTTTGAACCTTTTACTCTTCCATCCCTTCATCCAAATGCACAACAACACGAAACTGTGTAGTTAATGATTGTACGAACTGAACTTAACTGAAACTTATTCAAATTGTTGGTGCTTGTGTTGCTGGTTGCACGTAATCTTTTTGTTGGTGTCATTCTTATGCGATAAACCAATATTCCTATTTCTCTCTTTACCTTTTGCAACAAGCACCCTTCGTGCTGTTAGCCGCAACTTCTTGTGGCGTATTAGGTTCTAAATGCCCAGTTGATAGGTTGACAAGACCAACATACTCTTTCAGTTTCAAAGTACAAATAGGTCGGTATCATCTATTCTTAACTGGAGGCTCTATGTGCTGGAATTTCTATACTTGATTGCTCCCGGTATCTAGACAGTTGTGAAAAAGAAGATGGTATCACATTTGAGGAAGCGATCGCGGGCTTACCCAAGGCTTCAGCAGCATACGCCTAAGTGAAACTTTTGAGTCGTTGAAGTGTAATGTCAATTATATTTAGAAATTGTCTGTACCTTACCGGCTCAGTTCTCCTTCACGGTTTCAACACCAAGAGCTTCCCTTTGGAGAATTTCTGTCTACCGTTACTGTTACTGCTTTGGCCTGGGTAATATGGCAGTATTCCCCCTACTAGTACATCATATTTTTTTTCTTTTAAATGAAAATAATTGCACCATATATATATATATATATATATATATATAAGGATTGCTGGAATACCTGATAACTCAACCGTAGTATACGCCGGACAACTTGTTGGTAACAGTAAGAATGTCTCAAGTAATCTTCGAATGCTCATTCAGTTGCTACCAGTGAAATACCAAGGTCTTTTCTTTCCGTTCACACTAACATTGTCCATGTTGTTACATGCGTACAATGGCAGATTACGTTCAATGAATATTACTACAATCTGTCGCGGTGGGTTTAAATAGCTCTATTGCTGACGAATCCAGCGTTGCATAAGAACAACACAAACGAAATATAAACAATATCTTATTTTGCATTCGCAAGCCCCGACTGTAATCAGGACACGATACAATGTAGTATGTATGCTTGCTGTTCCTTGGCTCCATCGAAGGGACTCCCTTTTTGACGTGAATATTTTCACAGTTCTATGACTATAAACGTGACTGACGCAAGTACGCCCACCAGAACCGACGTCAGTTAACTCACGTTAAAATGTTTGACACCACAATGGCGGTCAGCTGCGCATTGTACGATCGCCACACTTTGTTTGTTCACGAGGCTTTGCTAAATAAGCCGTTGTAAACTGAGCAACATGTGTGGAATATCCCGACATCTTTTAATGAAACTCCCTTAAAGCGATTTGTTTAAAGTTTGTGTTAAGACGGAAGGACCATGGATGTCGCTGCTAAAGAGTTACGTTGTTTGGCTTGATGGGAAGTTGTAACTAAAACTCAGTTGTTTACTAAGTCGGTCCCGTGTGTGTGTGAAACTTTCTAGTGGGGTTGTATGTCAACTGTGGCATCCCCTAGTCTCGCAAGCTCAAAAAGTCTAAGTTCGACATAAAGGTTCTCGCACTAGCATGCATACCTCTAAGATTTCTTCCATAAACTGAAACCACAATACAGCGACTGCTTTCTTATTTCACAATTTTTGGGTGTTGCATAATGATTAGGGTGAACCCCATAACCCGTAGACCTGCAATCAAGTGGCGGAGATCGAAAACCGATGCCCCGGAACTTGGAGTGCCGAACCACACAAGGCCCTGTTAGGTTAAGCTTGTTACTTACCTGAACAACAGAAAAGCTGTCTGCCACGGCTCGTAGTGATTAAACGTATCTCCGCTCATGGTTTGTATCTTACTTTTGTTAACTGTACAATCCAATTGTGCTGAATCGTCTCATCATTACCAATCGATTTGGTCTCGGGCATAAGCGGATTCCAAATGCTACTATAGGCACTGTTCGTCTCCTTTTTCCTTAGTTGTTTTATTTTTCTTTGTCGTCTAACTAGCTGGAATTCAGGGTCAGGAAATTTTCACTTTTTTTGTTTTCTGGTGCCAGTCCTGTCGATTTACATTTTTTCCAGCCTTCATTTCACGTTGTTGACGTCCAATTTCTTTCACTATGCTCTCAACCAGTGTCTGCACATAAATGATTGAATTGCACATGATCACTAGGAATGCCTTATTCATCGATCACCTTGGATGCTGGTAGGGCGCACACTATCTGGTTCTCGTATTCAGTGAGATTACGTCAGATTGGTTACTATCTCACTCGAAAACTTTGGATGCGCATAGGACATGCCTGATTTTTCAGTGTTCCATCTGTCACTTCTTCACCCCTTAGGTCCTTTGGTTGCTCTATCTACCTTTTCATAGAATTTGTTGTCGGTGCGGGTCGGTTCACTAGACCTTAGATACTCATTTGCACATTATCGGATTTATGAAATTGTGCACTTTCCCGTCTCGTACACCTTGCTTTCGTGTCGCAGGGTAACAGTACACAACTATTCTCACACAGGAGAGATCATGTTTCCATAATTAGCGCATTGTCGTAGACGTGTACGTTACGATGTACCTGCAGTAGCCGTTTATGGCTGGTACAAGTACGTTACTACTGATGAACAAAAAATCATTCGCTCATTGCAACATGTTGAAATACCGATACCACTTGTTCATTTCAATCACTTAGATTCACCCTCGTATGGTATTTGGTTCTCCACCCCTAATTTGTTTGCACATTCATATTACTGCACTGTCTATGTTTCGGCATATTTGCGTTCGCCGTTGTGCATTGGTCCTGAGTACTATAATCAGAGATTGTGTATATTAAGAGTTCTATCGTGTCTGCATCACCGTTGTGTTGTACATAATGAAATGTGTTTCGTGTCCGTTGTAACCTTAGGTCACCGAAGTCTGAAACTGTCACTCACTACGATTCTGTTTATCGATGTGGATTTTGTTTTCCTCAAATACTGTCATACAAATTACTCTAAACTCTTCGAACAAGGAATTCGTGAGTACTAGTGCTGGTGACTAGGCGTTCCTGTTCAATGTGTCCATTTTTTTCTTGATTGCACTCATCCGGATAGGGAACTTGGGCATTCGTTCTGGCCACTTTCGTTTAACCATTCGCATGAGGAAGTAAACAGAACGTTGGAATGCTGAGAGCAGTGTCAATTTGAAAATTGGGTATTCAATTAAACTAAGGTTGCAAGGATATCAAGTACATGCACGGACTTCATTGAGATATGTCGCTTAATGTTTCCAAATTTTGTTTTCACTGATCCCGAGGTCCCCATCCAGAAAGCCTAACTTAATTTATAGTCCAAGTCTCATTGTTGTGGGTTTTGTACCCTTATGCCAGTTTGTCCGCCCTTGACCTTTTCTCATTCGCTGCCTGCCTCGTCAAACATCGCATGCCTTGCCAACTTATTTGATGATATGTGTAACTCATGTCCCAAACAGCGTATTATGCGGAGGTCGACCACGTGGTCCAGTGGGCCACCGCGATTACCTAAAACACCGTGTCGGA